ACATTCAAGCTGTCTCTTTACCCAGATTCTTTATCGGTCCATCCCTAACTTCCAGCCGGCAACCCAGAAAGGTTGGTCTGTCTAGGCTTTAGGTGCCTGAAGGATGCCCTCCCCTTGGTCCATACTTTCGGAGCGTATAGCCTTTTCCTCCGGTGCGTCTAATCCAGCGATTCGGCTGGTGTGTCCCCCACTAAAGGATCTGATTGCTCAGTTCTCCAATCTCGGCCCCCGGTTCAAATTCAGCCTTCATGTAGTACCGTTGAAGATCACTGCTACCTCCAAACTCGGGACTTCCCAAATGGGCTTCGATCTCTGGTCCTGTGACTCGTGCTAAGCAAAGCCCACAGATTACAGCCTTCCGGAATCACCTCAACGGTGCCACCAGACACCGTCTTGACAAATCCTCCATGGGCCAACCTTAGTGAAGATCGTCGCAGACTTTTTCCCATATTACAAAAGCACCATCCCTGGAATTTGAACATGAGATTTTCCCATAACGTTTGGTGAAGGTGACAACTAGACCACTTCACTAAGTCGTCACATCTCTCAAATGGTAAATAAATTTAGAATAGTCAATTATATTTTTATTAAGAGTTGACTAAGCCAATTTTTCAAAAAATCAACTGACTTAGCTAGCTAAGTTGGCTAAGCCAACCAACCCCTAATTGACTTATAACACTATATAAAAACTACAGTCTATATTTCATTAGAGTCTCAAAGGTAGATTTTATTATAAAATAAATTAAAAAAAATATATTTACTTTTTTTTTAATTATATGTGTATTGGCTCTTTCGCTGTTAGAAATTTAATGTTCAATATAGAATAAAATAGTTCTTAATAAAGAAAACTGACTTACAGAATAATTGTACTGTATATACTTGACCAAATTGACCGAATCAATTTTTTTTTCTTATCTGTACAACATAACCAGTATCATACAATATTGATAATGTACAATATAGTTGTATGTACATATATGAATTCCTCATGCAGACCAAATTGTTTTACAATTCTTTAGCCCAATTTCATAGTCTACTAAAATCATATATAGAAAATACACTACTAGCAATAGGCTCTACTTGTCTCTCGCATGTGCTTGTAACCAGTAGTGGTCTTTCAAACTTGTATAAACCAGATTTAAATTGACAGTTTCGAAAGACCTTCTATGGATGACAGGTATTTGTGAAAGACAAGTGGAACTTGTTGTCAGTAGTGGAGCTTCCATATTAATTATAGCTCAGTTTGGGTGCTCTTTATGAAATGCTACTTTTATTCGAACTCTCATGTATAACCTTTTACTGTAATAACAGCAAGTAATAGAATCATTAAGTAAATTAAGCAATAAAAATACATATAATAATAAAATAAATAATATTTATCAGATCATAGAAGATATTAAACCATCATTAAAAGAGAAAATTCTGCTGTTCTTTGAACTCTTAGGGCTTTTGAAGATCTATATATGTTAAAATAATAGCAAGGGTCAGGTTGTTAATAAACAATAATATAAGTCTCATTATGAAGCTTATAATAAAGTTACTTTTACGTGATAATTGCCTGGTTCGATGAGGCTAATCAATTTAAGGAAAGTAATTAAAAGCTATTATAGTTAATGACAATAAAGAAATAGCGTATAATAAAATCTTTGATGATGCTAATCAATTTAAGGAAAGTAATTAAACGTGATTGTAACTAAAGAAATGGTGTATAATAAAACCAAAATAGTGTATTTTTGAATAAACGTGGCATAGTGTGAAATAAGAATGTAGTTAGGAATTTCAAAAAAAAATACAATTGTAGACAATAGAGAAAAGAGGAAAGTAATATATTCGAAAAGGATACATTCCTGGAATGTCATGTAAAATCGAGTTTCAGAAGTGGCTTTTAATTTGTGAAAAAAAAAGATGAATCACAGAAAATCAAATTCTTTAGGGCAAAATAGGAAAAATTATAAGAAAATACTCCCATTGTATAACAAATCCTTTAAGATCTAGATTTTTTTTAATAAGACAAACTTAAATATAAAAGAAGATTTTCTGAAGTTAATAAAATTACCATTATCAGTTTCAATAATAATAGTTCCATATCTTTGCCTTTACCGTTTGCATATTTCTTATTAGTTTTGTATTAGTAATTGTTCGTCTTCTAGTAGTATACACATTACAGTGTTAGTAAAAAGTGAACAAAAATTTTTAGCCCGTCTAATTGTAAGTTTTTAATAACACACCTTTTGGATACTAGAGATTACTTTTATAGTCTTCAAAAATTCGACTAAATTGTTCAGGATCCTTTATACTGACCAGTATTCTAAAATTTCTTTGAGTAATAGTGTAGTAAGTAGAAAACGAGTTATAATGTCTTTACTTTCACTCTCACCTGGCTGCTTTGAAAGTCGAGAAGCTCTTATACAACATGTCCAAGCACATGCCTTCAATAATGGATACGCAGTAACTATTAAAAAATCTGAACGTGATAGATTTGTTTATTTGCGATGTGATAGAGGAGGCACTTATAGGAATACTTTGAACCTTACTGATGAGACTCGTCAAAGAACAACAGACTCACGATTAATCGATTGCCCCTTTGAACTCTATTGTAAAAAAAAGGATAGTCAGTGGCATCTGACTATAAAAGATGCTAGACATAATCATGAAGCTTCTGAAGATATGTCAGACCATCCAACAAATCATCGATTAACTATAGAAGAGCAACATAATGTTAAACAAATGTATGCAGCAGGTGTTTGTCCTCAGGAAATACTTTCCACTCTTCGCAGAGATAACCCAAGCCTTGTAGCAACGGCAAAAACTATTTACAATGCCAGAGATAAGGTTCGACAAGAAAATCTTCAGAGCCGCACGCCGATTCAGACTTTTTTTGATGAACTCAATGAGGGGAATTTTGAATGGAATTGCTAATATAATCAAAATGGTCATTTGACTTACTTTTTTTTTGCGTATACTAAATCAATCGCACTTACTAAAACCTACAATTCAGTTATTTTGATGGATTGCACTTATAAAACCAATAGGTTTAAAATGCTGTTACTTCATATAGTTGGTATAACAAGTTTTAACGCTTCGTTTTCTTCATGCTTCGCATTTTTAAAATCTGAACAAGAAATAGATTATGAATGGGCCCTCACCTGTATAGCTCGTATTTTCGGGAACGTTTCAAAACCTGGGGTCATTGTAACTGATTGAGAGTTAGCATTAATGCGCACACTGAAAACTACATTTCCTAACTCACAAAACTTTCTGTGCACCTGGCATATAGAAAAAAATATTTTAGCGAATTGTAAGAATCGGTTTTCTACAAATGAAGAATGGATTGAATTTTTGAAAGACTGGACAAGTCTCACAAAATCAAATACAAAGATAGAGTTTGATGAGAGATGGGAAGAATTAAGGAGAAAATTTAGTGAAAAACCTGCAATCTTAACATATCTGCAAGACACATAGCTTCCGTTTAAGGATAATTTTGTGAGCCTTTGGGTTGATCGATATTTACATTTGGGCAACGTGACAACATCTAGAGTGAAAGGAGCCCATGCAATAAGTACTTGTTATTGGTTATGTTGTGGATGATAACCAATTACACAGTAGGTTATTACGTATATCACGTGGCGAAGCCACGTGATATATGTAATCCCCTACTATGTAATTTTTTATCAGACGCAATTTAACTGATAACTCGCTTATTGGGTATGTCTGACATAAGCACCACAGTTTTTCATATATATTATTCGTCACTTTAAACTTTCACTAACTTTTTATTTACCTTTTTCTCTCCATATACTTTCGCTTACTAATACTTTCACTTTCTTTTTAATTAAAAAACTATGAATTTCTCACGAGCCTCACAACTTCCAACACAAGAAGAAATTGACCGGTTACAACAAGCTTCACTTGTTTCGAATACTGAAAAAAATATGGCCAAGTGGTTACGAGTTATTGAACGTTTTAATAAAAGTTGCAACATTTCAAAAAAAATTGAGCTAATCGACTCCATCAAAGAGTTGGAAGATTATCTTTGCAAGTTTGTTACCTGGTTACAAAAAAGCGATGGTTCTGACTATAAAGTGGAATCCGTTCATAATTGTTACAGTGCTTTAAACCGATATTTGAAAGAAAATAGTGTTCTTCAACCGATCAAGATTTGGGATCATTACAGATTTCCTCATGCTCTATGTACACTTGATGGAAAGATGAGAACGTTGCAAGATAAAGGTTTGGGCGATTCTAAAAAATCTGACGGGTTAACCATGAATGAGATTATGCAAATTCTTGACCATCAATATATGAGTATTGATGATAATAAATCACTTACTCGTCGTGTTTTTTTCTGGCTATGTCTTCTATGTGGATTGAGGGGTGGAGACGCATATCGACTTTCTAGAAAGGATCTTGAACGCCGTCGAGATGGGGGATTAAAACTTGTGCTACATAAAGAAAAGAATAACCAAGGTGGTGCATTTTATAGGAACAAGTATGGTAGAACTGGTTCACGACATATACCCATACCTCTAAATTTGTCTAATAACAAGTATACACCGGTTCAAGACATACTTCTATATTTATCCAAATTGTCATTACCCAGTTCGAATTTAGTGAAGGATCCTTTGTTTTGCGAAATCTGTAAAAGCAAAAAAGGTATAGATTTACTTATGCATATATATTAATATGCATGTTTATCGTTATTAGTTGAAATTGCTAATCTTTTTTATCAAGATCTGCAAAAAGGTCGTTGGTTTAAAGAAAATGCAATGGGTTTTGCAAAACTTAAAAAGATGATAAATAATATTGCATCTAATACTGGAATTGATCTTAGTAACGAACGTATAATCACAAATCACTCCTGTCGACGTACTGCCATTCAGCTTTTAAGGAATAACGGTGTTTCTGAGTCAGATCTTCAATCTTTTTCTAGACATCGCTCTCGAGAAAGTTTAGCCGAATACTGCAAGATTAGCGATGATCAACATATTACAAACATAGCTATGCATATTCCATTCTCATTTGAAGATTTGGATCTGGATGAATACGATTATGGCAATGGATATGAAGGTTTAGTTGAAGAAGCGAATGAAGACAATGAGTCGGGTATATTATTACAATTTTATAAAAATATTGAAATTTCAAGTTTTGAAAATAAATTTTTTTTTATTTATGAGAATTTTATTTTTTGCAATTTACAGATTTAGAAAATTCATCAACTACTCGACCAACAAACATTGAAATTCAAAAAACCCAACCGCGAAACTTTGAAATTCTAGAAACCCAACCACAAAGCGTTGAAATTCAACCCGAAAGAGTTGAAATTTAAGAAACCCAATCAACCAATCTTGAAATTCAAGAAATGCAATCACCAGACTTTGAAATTCAAAAAACTCAATCACTGGATATAAAACAAAAAAAAGCATCAAGAATTCCAAAAATAAAGTCTCGTACTAGTTCTAATCCATATCTCACGTCTTCTATTATGGCACCTTTCAAGCCACTATATCATTCTGATTCACCAATGATCGTTAAGTATGGTAAAAAAAGAAAACCTTTGGTGACCATTAAAAATAGTATTGTAATTAATCTTCCTTTGGATGTTCCACCACAAGGATATGACCTGAAAATCCATTTAAAAATTAGTTGATTTCTTTAACTTGTATTTTTTTTATCATTTATTACAAATTAAAGAATAATATTTAGCTTTGCAAATTTATGTGCTGCTAATAAAGTAACCAGAATTTATGTATTTTCACATATAATGTGATCGAAATTTGTGTATTGAGTTATTAAAAAGTGACTAATAATATATATGAAAAAGTTCCGGTACACACATAGAACATGACCAATAATAAAAAAATATCTTTAAATATCAACAGGTGACCTCTATGCTATGTATGAAAAAATATCTCTAGGATTAGAAAATCAGCATCAAGAAATCCAGACCATGATTTCACAAGAAAAAATTCGAATTCCTCATATTTTAAGACATCGATTATATATACAGGTCATAACCAAGGTATCCGTATTTGCATTAAAAAAAGTGTATGATCAATTCTTAAAGGTATCTAGATCGACTCCAGAAAACCACTACAAACTTGTACCCATACATTTATCTCAACAATAGGCCTTCCTTGCTCTCATCTTATTTTAGAGCATATTACAAATAATCAGTGCTTACAACTCACTGATATTCATCAGCATTGGTGGCTACAAGAATTTCAACCATCTCCACATGTATTGTCTAGATCTGAAGAAGAAGACCCTTTGCAGAAGCAGTGGCAGGAATATGGCCAGCAATTCGATTCTTGGTCAGCATTTCGGCAAACAATAGTTCTTGATAAAATGTTGAATTTATTTTTAGAGCTATCCGTAACTGTGCAAAACCCACAAATACAAACCACAAGAGGTTGTCCAGTTGGTGCTAAAAACACTTCGAAATTATCAACTTAGAGAGATCTATCAGGTTTTGAATTTGTTGAACCAGAAAGGTGTACCAAAAAGTGTAGGCTATGCCAAAAAACTGGACAGAATAGCAGAACATGCGAACAGAACAATAATTAATAACATTCATTTTTTTAAAATAATAGCTTACTATAGTTTTTTCATAAACTTGATATGATCGCACAAATTTTCCTGATCTTTTATCCACTTTACTAACCAATTTATTTTAATCTATTTATATGGAAGAAATTAGTTTGATAAAATTAAAGATTTAGATTATTACATAAACAAAGTAATTATATATGAGGTTGATAAAATAAAAGGCTCATACAACGTAGACAAAATTAAAAAACATGAAATTGGTTATTGATGTTATAAAATAAAAGTTTTAAATAACGTAGAAAAACTGTCTAAGCTTAATATTTAATACAGTATATAGCTAATAAGTTTGGAAATATAAACATAAAATATAAACTTCATATAAGTGTACTTTGAAAAAAACTATTATTGCGCATTAGATCATTTTTCTTTGTAAATTCATATATTAAATAAAATTGATTGGGTGATCATACTAACTGTGATATCAAATATTTAATAAACATGTATTTGTATGTATAGTACAAATAGATAAAAATAATCGATGATCTGATGTTACATGAAATTTATAGTGCGAATAGCGTTTTTCGTGGTGCAAATAGCAATACCCTAAATATATAGCAAAACTTTTATAATTATTAAGCTATAAACTCGTGCGATATACAGAAAAGATTTAATATAAAATAAAATAAAAATTTAAATCTAAAGCAAATTAATTTAAATAATTTTATCTCTAATATAGATTATAATTTGGTTTTGCTTAATTTTAATTTAATTTATTAAAACTAAAAATTTATTGTTTCTTAAATATTTTAGAATCTAGTAATTAGAATTAAATAAACTTATTTTTACTAGATGTGCCTCACTGAGAGCTTTTATTTTAAAAAAAAATTATTTAGATTGGACTGCTGGTTGTCAAGATAATTACAAAAAACTACTTTTTGTATATTTTGATCCCAAAGTAGGTTATATTGAATCTGAAGTAGATCCAATTATAGTTTCTTTAAGTTTATACAAGAAGTTATTAAGCAAAGATATCTTCAAGCTCTAAGTAAATTTGTAGAGGAGATAATTCTAAGTCAAATGATGGTTAAATCATCAAAATCGTGCTAGTAGTTATTAAGATATGTGGGATTAAAGATCTAAACATAAGGATTAACAAAATCAATACTTTGTATAACAGTGACTTTGTAAATCCTTATATTCGCGCCTTTAACCCAAGATATCTCAAGAACCACTAGGCCGATTTTGATGATTTAACCACCATTTGACTTAGAATTTTCTCCTCTACAACTTTATTTAAGTCTTGAAGATATCTTTACTTAATAACTTCTTGTATAAATTTAAAGAATTTATTGACAAATCAAAATAACAGATTTAATGTTATACAATTTAATAGAATTATTTATATTAGTAGTCTAAATGTTATCGTTACACACAAATATTTTTAGTATATAGTTATAGATTTAAAAATTAATAAATTTTATAATTTTATTTAAATAATTATTAAAAATCTTTTAGCTACAGTACCAGACAGTAAAAGACATCCAATCTATATATATAGGTGCCAATTTTTGGTGCTTATTTAATCAATTCTAATTGGCTAATTTTGTGTGATTGGTTTTGATTGGTTAAAAATCTACATACATTTTCTTTTTTTCTATATTAAACGCCAATTTTTTGAACTCATATAAACTTTAATCTCTTATAAATTTTTTAGAACATAGAATAAAAAAAATCCTCTGACAGAAATATAGTTTAGCTAAAAATCTATCTATTTGTTAGAGAGTTTTGATTTAATTTTTTTTAAAAAAGTTATAACAATTTGAAGTTTTATTAATAAAGAGTAGATGTCTTTTACTGTTTGGTACTGTATAACAAATGAATCTATTAAAACAATTATTTTTTTAAAAAAGAATTTTTTTATATTTATGATTTAGCTAATATTTTTAAACCTATTAAAGATGCTATTATTAGATTAGAAAGTAAAAATGCAATATTAGCTAATTGTTATTTTGTATTAATATGTTTAGAAAAGACAATTTATAACCTTTTTAAAGAAAACTATTATCAATTTTATAAATATGCTATTAAAGTATTTAAAACATAATATAAAGAATATAAATTTGATGAATATCTTTTAATATATTTTCTTCACCCAGATTATAAAGGTATATTTGTTTATTTTTAAATTTTAAATTTATTTATATTTTAATACTATATTATAAATTATTTAGCTACAGGTATTTAAAAAAATTAATTTTTAAAAATTGCAACATTGGCAGCTAATATTTGGCAGCAAATAATAAAAATTCTAAAAATTGCAAAAGAATTAAAAAAAATATATATATATTTTTTGTATTAAGGTAACCTTCATTGGCCTAGCAAACTTTTTATTAGAGTATAGACAGTGTTTTATATGTAATTACAACGATAGTACATCAAGCCACATGTGCACCTTTTGAGTGCCTAATTTAAGTAGTCTGCCTAAAGGTTCTACACTATCTGCTGTACCTGCATCCCAACTAGAGGGGTACCTATTTAAACCATCTGGTTCTAACTACCTCTATTGACCCTTTAACCTGGAGGGTTTTCTCACTAAACTAAGTAGATATTGGTATCACTCTACATTGGCTCTCATACCTTGTCTTAGAACTTACTAATCTATATAGGTCTAGTCTATCCTCAAGGTAAACCTAACACAGTGGTACATGTCTCACACATGTATTCACGTGCTTGTTCCTATAACTTCTTCCTAATTAGTACATATTGACCTGCCATTTCATATTTATATCCCATGCCACCTTTTGGGGTGCTGCCATTTTACGACGTTTTTCAAGCATCAACCTTCCTAATCAGGTGCCCATTATGTACTCCTTGCTCTTGTTTTGGTTCCTAGCAACCCCAGTACCTCGCATTTAGACCGTCTTCTTACCTGGATTCTTTATCGGTCCCTCCCTTACTTCTAGCTGGCAACCCGGAAAAGTTGGTCTACCCAGGCTTTAGGTGCCTGAAGAATGCCCTCCTCTTGGTCCATACTTTCGGAGTGTATGTTCCTTTTCTCCAATGTGACAACCCAGCAGTTCGGCTAGTATGTCCTCCGCTATTAGGACCTGGTCGCTCGGTTCTCCGATCTTGGGCCCTGGTTCAAATTTAGCCCTCCTGTAGTACTGACATAGATCACTACTACCTCCAAACTCAGAACTTGCCAAACAGGTTTTTAGTTATTCCAGTTCTCTGGATTTATTGCACCGAAGCTTTTATTACTAGATAGTGTAACCAAGATTACAGATTAATCTAGATCCAACTGATAGAATGCCATCAACCATACACAGGTCTATTTTCAAAATCATCACCAGTGGGATTCGAACTCTAGATCTGCTACTTGAAAAGGGTGACGACTAGACCACTATACTAAGTTGCCACACATCTAGAATTAAAAAATAATAACCATTTTAAACAACAATTAACAGATATTTTTATATCACAATTTAGAAAATTTTATTTACAAGATAGTCAATTTAATATATTTTTTTTACTAAATATTAATACAGTATTAAGTTGGTAGAAAACATATAATATAGTATCATCATATTTACAATTACTTAAAATTAATCTTTTTTTTATAACCTCATATATAGCAAGTTGTGAAAGAATTTAGTCTATTTGTGAATAGATAACAGAAAAAAAAAAGAATCAATTTATCAGTAAAAAGTCTTAAATTATTAGTTAAAATTCATTCATATTATATTACTAATAGAAAATCTAAATTAAATTTATATTATTAGGAATATACAATAAAAGATACTTATCAAGAATTATATAATACACAAATTGAAAAAAAGAAGATAAAAATGAAGTTAAAGACCAATTAAATATTAATTTAGATAAATATATAAATAAATATGATTTAGATAATAATAAAGAACTGGATGGGAAAATTTAAATTTGTTAGAAATGATTGATTTAGAAAATGATATTTTTCAAGATAATAATAATAATCAAATTATAGAAGATTTAATAATTATTATAATTTAAATGATTTTATTCAAGATTTAGAAAATGAAAAAAATTATAATCCAAGTAAATTAGTATAAAAATATTTTAATAAAATTATAAAAAAGTAAGGTGGTTTAAAAAGCTTCAAAAGAAAATATTTGAATACAAAATATAAGTAAAGCAAAAAATTAACAATAATATCAAATATTAAATATATAAGTGTTGCTAAGAAAAAATCTGCAAATCTTATTAAATAAAATTTGTAGGCTTTTTCTTGGCGGCACTCATATTTGGTATGATAATTTAATAATATTAATATTACATATTTAGAAATAACAAAATTATACATATAAAAATAAAAATTTATACAATCAAAATATATAAGTTTCAGTCCAAATTTTAAACACAAATATATATACTGTATATTTATTAAAAGATATATTTTAAATTATAATTAGTATTTTGTTTTATCTACTTATCTATTGGATATTCAAATCTGAATTTATTTTGATATTATTTTTTGTCTATTTACTATTGATATTCAAATAATTAAATATTTAAATACAAATAAATAGATAACAGATTATTTAAATTATAACTTTAATTATAATAATTAAGCTATTCATAAATTAATAAATATAGTTTTGAAAAACTCTTTCTAATAATCATTTGAACCAAAATTTCTCACCAAAGGAAACTAACGTTTGTTGGTAGGTTGTCGTAGTCTAACATAATGGTTTGTCTAGAGGTCAATGATTTTTTGTTTCGGGACTTCTCTATAAGTTGTGTATTTGATATGCAAGCCAAGAGCATTGGTAGACAAGATAACTGGCAAGAGGTGTGCGCTCTTGGAACAAAATCTTGGTGAAGAGAACTAGAGTCTTCTTCATTAATGAAGTTATCTAGGCTGTTCTTTTCTGAAGAAGAATACAGAGAAAACAACAAAGACTATTTTTTCTTTAAGCTGTACTCTTTTACTTTACTCCTACTTATCTTCCCATCAGTCTTCTGAAATTTTTCAAAAAAAGTGGGGATTTGGCTTATCTCCTTCTAAAAGATCAATATTGTTTATCTCCAAATCCAGATAGGCCAGTAGATGGCAACACATGTCCAAAAATAGATATGACGTTCAAGTGTGGAATGGGTCTCAGTCGAAAAAAGAATTCCTGATTACAGCAGCAAGTGGCCTGAGATATGGGTCTACAGATAGTAGCAACAATTGCTTGAGATACAAATTAGATTTATAGAAAAATCCAGAGTTGGGTCAGAAAAAAAAATAATGATAAGACATAGTCTTACAGTATAGGTATACAGATATTGCTCTTGTATATAATTTTTATCAACCTGGCATGGGTTATAATAGTGCACCTCTGTTTTTTATATGTGTTAGATTCACCTGTTTTTTTTTTTGCTTTTTTTATCTTTTCCCTTTATATATAGATAGAGTTTAGAGTTTTTGTTCTATTCTTGTTTGTATATGCTTTAAATTTCTAGTTTTTTGTAAATTTTGACATTATTTTCTTCTCTTATACAAACGTAAGAGATTTAATTATTCTGCCAGGATCTAGATAGAAAAAGTTTTAAAGAAAAATGGATAATCTTGACAAGGTAGACAACAACCTGTCTGTGATCAAGAGAGTACTCTTGTCAGTACAAAATTTGACGCAAGTGTTAAATCCTGAGTGAGACTAATTGTTGTTATAGCGGGTCGCATTGGGTATTTTGTTTGGTGGGTTTTTATTAGATTAGAACATTACACTATAAGAATGCAAGTACTTTGTACTTTTATTAATTAGTAGTTCCAATGAATAAAGACAAGATTGCTTAAAAAAAAATAAAATAAAATATATTAATAAATATGATAAATAAAAAAATATTAAAAGTATATAATTAGCAAATATAATGTGATTTGAAGTTATAATTTTATTTAACGTTCTTTTTCTACTGCCTCCAATAGCCCCTAAAACTAAACAAGCCAATTAGAATGTCTACTACAACTTTGAATTTTAATAAATTATATGACTACAAACCAACCAATAATAATAGTGATTTTTTTAAGGTGTTATATAATATTTGTTTAATTTAACCTTCTTCTCCTGCTGTATTTAAGCTTTGAAAGGAATATTAAATGAAATTATAACTTCAAATAGCCTAATCTAAAGTTTAGATTTTTAAAACCTCTTAACTATCACAATAATTCATATATATCTTATTATCAATATAAGGCATTCAAGATATAAATTTAGAGAAAACAGCTACAATAAATATTAAAAATTTGGATAAAAATTTAGAATTATCTAAAAAGCTTAAATTTGTTAGCAAACTTAAATTAGATATTTGGAATTATGTTAATATAGAAACTCATAAATGCTCTAAATGTGTTAAAATCTTTGAACTAACAACTTCTACTGGCTTTATTCATATTTATTTACAATATCAGTATAAATTATTATTAAATACAAAAGAATTAAATATTGCAATTAAAAAATACTCTTCCAAATTCAACTAGCAATTTTTAAATGGATTATTTTAGCTCTTAAACTATTTAATATAGTAGAAAATAAAGCTTTCAAAATATGGTTCAAAAATTAGATCCATTTTATCAAATTTCTAATTATAAGATTATTCAACATTTAGTTATTAATTAATTTACTTATCAAAGAGATTTGATAAAGGAAAGTCTTAGCAAAATATCAAGTAATATTGCTCTTATATCAGATTTTTGAACATTATTAAAAATAGAAAGTTTTATTGCAATTACTATTTATTTTATTGATACAAATTGGAATTTACAACATTTTGTATTAGATATATCCCCTTTGACACCAAATTTGTATATTGGGACATTTAAATTCGTACATTGAGACATTTAAATTCATATATCAGGACATTTAAATTCGTACATTGGGACAATTTAATTTAGATTAAATAAAGTGCAATAACTCGTGCTCTAGTGATTCAATTTTTATGATTTTAGTACCATTAGAATAATCTGACTGAGACGATTCTAATGGTACTAAAACCATCAAAATTGGACCACTAGAGCACGAGTTATTGCACTTTATTTAATCCAAATTAAATTGTCCTAATGTACGAATTTAAATATCCCGATATACGAATTTAAATGTCTCGATGTATAAATTTAAATGTCTCAATGTATGAATTTAAATGTCCCAATGTACGAATTTGGTGTCAAAAGTGACATGTCAATTTAAAGAATCTTATACTAGAAAAAATATTGCTGATAAAATATACAAAATACTTGAAGAGTTTGGAATTGAAACTAAAATTATTGTATTAACTACTGATAATGATGCTAATATGATTTCTACTGCAAATTATTTATCAGATAAGTTGATTTTAAATGATTTTTGTCACTACAGAAATATAGCTCATATACTAAATTTAGTAGTTTTAGCTGATTTAAATTCTTTAGCAGATTCAATTAAAAAATTAAAAAAATTAATTAAAGTTATTTGCAAATTAACAAAAAATTTTGAAGATTTAAAAAATATTGTAACTTTGGATGAAAAACCTTTTTTAGCTCCAATTTAGATTGTAAAACTAGATAGAACTCTACATATCATATGATTAAAAGAGCATATTCACTTTATGAATCTATAGAAATGTTATTAATTAAGCATTCAGATTTAAAAATTTATATGCCAAACAAAGAAAAGTAAAATATTTATGAATATTTAATTCATTTATTAGCACAATTTAATGATGCAACTATTGAACTTTCATCACAAATATATCCAACAATTGTACATACACAAATAATTTTATTAGCTCTTAGAAATGAATTAGAATCTGATAAGAGTAAAATCTTTCTATTACAACATATTATTGATACTATGTTATATAAATATATTGAATATTTTAATTTAATAATTAAATCCTTGTATATTTCTGCTTTTTTAACCCCTAGATACAAACAATATTGTTTTTCTACTATGAATATTGAAGAAATTTTAGCTCCAATTAGAAAAAAAATAAATTAACAATCACCTTTATCAATAGCTAAACCTAAAAAAGTATCAAGTTTTTATTAAAAATTAAAACATACAAGCATTAGATGATAAAGTTTAAAAATATTGGTTATCTACAGAAGCTAATGAAAATATAAATCTTTTAAATTGGTGAAGTACTCATTCAGCAGAATATCCAACACTTTCAGAATTTGCACATAATTATTTATATATTCAAGCTAGTTCAGTACCATGTAAACAACTTTTTTCAATTGCAGGTCAAGTAATTAGTAAATCTAGAGAATCTGCAAGAGCATGTTTATGTTTACATAGCTAGTTATCAAGAAATATTAAATAATTTTACTATATCTAAAATTATTATTTAATACATATTATTTTATATTTATTTATTTTTATTTATTTAATTTATATATATATTTTTATTTATTTTATTTTTTATATATTTATATTTTAAATAAGGTTTTTTCTATTTATTAGGATTTTTTCCTTGGCAATTTGCCTAAATTTTATTTTTATCTTTGTATAATTATTTATCTTATAATTTATATAATTTATATTAAAATATTTTTAACAAGTCAAAAGTATAGTAAATTTATTTTTTGGCAATATTACTTTTGCAAAATCACTATTATGTAACTGTTAGCATTTCTCCAATGCTTATCTTTTCCAACACATTAAAACTTCAATATAATCAAAAAAATCTGGCAGCTTACTATACTCAGTATAAAATAAATTGCTGCATAACATTGCTCTACTAAACCAGGGAATGGATATATATAAGCTTAATTTAGAAAATGTTGAACAACTTCAATACAGTATAGTTTGAATTTAAACAAATTAATATTGAATATACAACTAAATACAGAATAACTATATTGATATAAGACGCTATAATTTAAACATAAGATTTTTTGATATATATAGCATAGAGTGTAAAAATCTCTTTAAAAAACATATTATACCAATCCACTAAAATTTTCTATTGATAACTCTAATAATACACAATGCCAGAACAGATATTAAAAATAGAGATATCTCACACCATATCATACGGATTGGGCCATGCTAATTTGCATAATTTAGAGATGTTCTTGGCAGATAATAATTATACAGACTAGTATGGATAAGAAGATAGACCTATTAGAAATAAATAATTGCTAAACCTACAAGCTAAGGGTGCTTTAGTTAGCTATCAAGATAGTGAAGTGCACTGCGATTAATTGAAGTGGGGACACTTGAAGAACAAGTACCCCAGTGATCATTACATCATGTGACATCATGTAATTACATCATTTGTTTACTAGCACTAAACAAATTAGCCTAAACTAACCTATCACCTAACCCTAACACTAACCCTAACGTAGGCTGAACATTTAATCAGGTGATGTGATTATCACGAATATATCACTGGGGTACTTGTTCTTCAATCTTCCCATTGAGGCAATCTTTGCTAAAAATTTATAACTCGAATGTGAATAATAAATTTTAGCCAAACAGAAGTGGCTATAACCCTTTTTTCATCGCGATAATAAGCTTACTTATAGTTAAACTACTTTTTACCAATTAAAAATTGAGTACTGACCTATTAATTTATATTCTTGAGAGAATTTAAATATACTGATTGATAATCTCAATTGATTATATACTGTAAGAAAGTTCTGAAGATACTTAATTGAAATATTTTATGTTATATGATCCCGAGACTATCAGGTAAAAAAAATATATTATGTGAAACCTGACATTATATGATAAAGAGTTTTGTTGACCTATTTCAACTTATTAAAGATTTTTAGGCTGTTAACACTTGTATGTTCTTTGATTACTATATTACTTGAAAATTTTATTATCATAGTAGCTATGTGATAATGTTTAATGCAATGCTACTGTAGTACTGTATCAGTATTATCTACCACAACTTGAGCCATGGCTAAAGCCATTTTCTAGCCATGACTCAAGCTGTGGCTTCAATAACTATGGCTTAATTGACTTTAAAAAGCCTATTTAGTTGCAACTGATGCTAAACTATAGTTAAGCTGCCACTCCAAGCTATTGCTTTAGCTGGCCTTGGTCTGCCTGGCTCCATTATAACTCTAAAGACTATTTGAAGTAGTTGACAACAAATAATATTAGTGCAATTCCGAAGGGCCATACTATATATAATATTTAATGCACTAACCAATAAATTATGAGATTTTGCAGATGCACATACATCACTAAAAATACCTATAAAACTTCGTAATATTATATATCACTCCATTGCTAGTATTATTGAACAGAGACAATTGTTAAAATTTTAAACCCATCATTTCTGCTTAATAATTTTATTACTAGGTAGGCAAACTATAGTCAAATAATTATTGTCTGTTATTAATTTTAATTTATTAATTTTTTAATTAGACATAGCATAGTTTTGGAAATTTTAGGCCTCCATCAAGTAACAGCAGATAAATAGCAAATATAGAATAATTAGCACAATAAACAAAAAAAAAATTGAAAAATAAGTCAACAGGTAGCAAAATAAAAACCAACTTTGCATGGCCTAACAATTAGATTTAACATGTTACTTTTTATTCTGCATACCTAAATCACTTAGGTTTTTGGTTTTCTCATTATAATCCCGAATGAAGTAGAAATCTCGATTCTTGGGCCACAATTAGAGGTGCTAGTGAAATTGATCTTTCCAATTTCACCAATTCAACAATAATTCATTAGAAATAGTGAAATTATTAAACTAATATAGTCATTCTCTTCTATAATCATGATGTTTGTTTGCATGAAATAGACGTGATTATAAAATTTTTAATAGTAATGTAATTTATTACTAATAATTTTCAAAAAAATGGTGCTTATAAAAGAAGGTGTGATTATATAAGAAGTGACTATAGAGGAAGATGACTGTATATTATATAATGTAATAAAACCTTTTAGAAAAAACTACACGATGGTGTGTGATCTGCATCACCTGATTAATTCTACAGATCATTTGACCAGATTTAAAATTGTCTTGTTCTAGATCTGGCCAAATGATCTGCAAATTTGACCAGAATTATAAATGATGAGTCCGCCTCATGCTGAATAAAGTATAAATTATTATTTTTATTTTAGCTAGAACATTAAAAATTTTTGGCATTGGCTACAATTTTAGCCAGCTAGCTAAACCTCTTGGTCGGCTAATATCGGCTACAGCTAATAGCCGGTTATAGCCATAGCCCTAGTACTAGTTCTATGAACATCGTCATGTGATCTCTAACCGATCACAGATTATAATTTTGCCTAAATTAAGCAAAAAATTTTATGGGTTCCTACTTGATATCTGGATATCTGATCTGTTTATCCGATTTGAATTATTCAGATATTCAGATATGGATAATGTTGTTAGCTGAAATTGTTTTATGCTTGTAGAAATATTTCAACATTTGATATTTAGTCTGCCGAAATATCTAAATATTGCTGAAATTCTAAATTATGTCGAAATGTCTAAATAATGTCGAAATGTCTAAATAATATCAAAATGTCTAAATTAAGAAATATATATGAAAAAATATAAGGGAATTAGGGCTATTAATCAGTTCTGACTAAAACCACCAGTCTTGTGATCCTCCTTAGAACCGGCCAATCTGGTCTTTTATGGGCCGTACAGACCAAAAAGACTTTTGGTCCGAATATAGTAGCTTTAAATTATTGTAACAAACATGTGTAACCTAATTTTTTGTATATGCGATGTTAATTTTTTTAATACTATTGTATCTAAATATTATAAAGCTGTTACAGTAATTGTTAAAATACTGTAATGCTACAAATAGCATAGAATAACATAGGATAAAATTCTGCTAGTGTTTATTTTTTAAAGCAATTTTTAGAATTAAGATATTTACTGGTTTTGTGAATAGGAAATCATTGCCAAAGTTCGCAGTGAAAGATCTTAATTTTTTTTTACTGTTCAGTCAAGGTTATTTCTTATAGCTGTGAATTTGTTTTTGAATTATCCTAAAATAAAAAGACTTGTTTTTGGACATTTTAAAATTTCTAAATTGTTCTATTTTTAACTAATGCGAAAGCAGACATAAATTCTCAGGCTACAGGTCTACAACGTAGCTATTATATTCATGATTAAATTGGTAACAGTAAAGTGAGCTATGTTATATTCTGTCATGGGTGATGAATAATTATGATTGGTCATTAATTTAAGAAATCAGTGTTAAAAAGAATGAACACAAAGCGTTCAAATATTATCAAAAATCTGATAGTAATTTAATTTTAAACTATACCACTA